GAGAGTTTTGGATATATTCCCCACTTGTTCCAGATGACGAAAAGAAATTGGCTTTTGCTTTATAACTGTTGTCACTACTATATGTAAAATACTTCTATTGTTTTGTTCTAGTAACGATTTTTTAGAAGTAAAAAGATTGTATTGTACAACACTAATAATCTGTAAAGTTTATTTCAGATGTTTGATTAGACACAACATTAATTGATGACATATGGCGTAGTGGAGGGACATAGTGCATGAAAGCATGCACTGGCATGGTGATACAAATTATCAAGTCCTAAGCAGTAACAAAAATAAAAATATCCAGTTGTAATGGAAAGTTACTTGCATTTATAGTACAAAGTTAGCATCGTGATACGGCTTGACCAATTTGAAGTTACCAAACACCATAAAAAGTGATTATTAAAATAGTATTTTAAATCATATTAAGATGAAAATCAATAATATTATTTCTTTTTTGCTTTCTTTATTCTGAGAGTTTTGGATATATTCCCCATTTGTTCCTGATGACTTACAACAACAACAAAAAACCCAGCATAATATCATACTATGGATCTGGGAGAGTATTGTGTACGCAGCCTTACCCCTACCCTAGAAAGGCAGAGGGGCTGTTTTCGATAGACCCTCGGATTAAGGAACGGTGATTCTTGATTACTTGAAACTGCTTATTTACCTTGCTTCCTCCAAATAACGAAATGATATTCGCTTTTGCTTTAGGCACTCTTGACACTACTACAACGTAAAAGAAGCAGCAAAATAACTGAATAGCGCCGATATCTATTTGGTTGTGCGCATACCAATTTTAGAGTTAGACAAGTTAGTATTCCTTCATAACTAGTATTTCTGAGTACATATCTCGCGTTGATTTTACACAGGGGAATGAGATGTTAGGAAACGTCTGATCTCGATATTTGCAAAGAGCCATAACCATGCAAAGCTATTGATTCTGACCTGGCACGCGAGCTACTTCTGCAATGATGCGCGCAGCAGCAGACTCCCTTGCTTCACGCGGACTCTCATGTATGTTGCTTTCACTGGTAAATTCGAAATCGGCACCTTTCACAATGACTTTGGCTTGAAATCCACCTTTAAAGGAGCAAACACTGACAAGGATTAGCTCAACTTTGCAGAGTACTTGAGCAAGACATTTGAAAATTGGAGAGTAGTCACTCAATTGGACAGGTAATTCTAAAACAAAAATCAAGATTCAAGGCTTCAATTAGTAGACAAATTGGGAGATGGCTCTTCTGCTGTAGCCACAAGATCTAATTTCTGGGGTTGAGTTAGGCCCAAGGTCCATTTCTTCACTAGATCAAACCGATTCGAAAAAAAATGTGGAAGTAAAATGGTCAAGAATTCATAATAAATCTTTCACATGCTATCACATTTGTGGAAAAGAAATCTCATCAAATGTCCCATCAATAGCAATAGCATGCATCATAAAAGAAGACCACTATATCCGTTTGAGGTAGATGGGAAAGTTTCATATATTTTACCCTCAAATGGAAAGACTCGATATGTTGGCAATGCCCAGTTACTCCTGCAGCACAGTTGATCCAATTGCTGCGGACATAGAATTGAAGAATAAATGCGTGGACGTTACATATATGCAGCAAGTAAAAATCAGAATAAAGAGAAGACACTAATACTTTTAGGAAAAAAAATTCACAATAGGATTTCAGAAAGAAATAACCAGTTGAAAGTTCTTAACTTTGCCATATGCTTATCCAATACTAAAGATATTATATAAATAAACAAATGCATTCAAGTCAAAATAACTGCTGATTTTCTTAGTTCAAATAAAGTGAACATGTCCCTTATATTTCCCAATAATGACTTCCTATGTATATTGAAGGAAATATCAGAAATACCAAACATGAAGAAAATTTTCAACCAACAACGGAGAACAGAAAATAAGAAAAGCGAAGAAATAAAAGGAAATGTCAAATTCGGATGCCTCATCTTGCCTGACATTGGTTTTGCAAAGTAAGAATGGCCTCGGACAATCTTTTTCCCTTGCTATGAATAGATTGGTCTTCTACCAGTTGATTGGTATTGTACTCAACTCCTTCACCTTTCACACATGCGTCATTAGAGCCATCTACGAGAGCTTCAATCTTCAATGGTAAATCATTTTCACCCCCTGCATATAAATTAAGAAAGAAGTTATGCTGACAGTTCTCAGATCATTGGTTTAAACTGATGCTATTCAAGTGAAAAGTCTCCCAGAGGTTGACATAAACTATCGAAAATGGGTATCAAAACATCAAACATTAGCAACAGATAATGCCACCTGTCATAAGAGAAGTTACCAGAATGTTTTCTGTCCATTGTTTTTCTCAGTTCCAATTAAACCGACACAGAAATGTCAGCTCTGTTGCTAATTTCTTAATAAAAGAATTTCCTTTCATTATTTATCATCTTTTCAGTATCATTCTTTAAGAAACAACAGGGCCTTGATTTATCTCATAAAATCTGAAACTTACCAATAATGCAGCTTTTAGATCTATGTTATGCCCGCATCTCTAAAAAGAACAGAGCGGGTGTATGATTGAAGATACCTAATTAAGAAATAATCAAATTTTCTTTCCTCCTTTGATCTTTACCTTTCATAAATGTGGAGACTCCACCAACTCTTTACCCAGAAATATATTTGATGGACTAAGCTGAGCTTTGACGTTTGCAGGCTCATCCATTGACAAACTTTTTCACATCCTACAAGTTTCAACATTTTCCGTACCATTTGCATTATTGTTCATCTCGCTTTTTATGCTTGTTTCTTGTCCATATAACGTCTCTTCCTTCTCTTACAAAGCCGATGAATTTTTAGTAAGGCATGCACTATCAAGTGAGAATCCTCTCTAAAGATACACAAACTTTTTTCTCTTTTTTTTTGGTTTTTTGATAAGCTATATAAGAGATTCTTCAGAAGTATAAAACTACACGTGTACACCTGTTCATCCAACTCATCAAGGAGCTTACAAGGTGGATTTCAGATTTATTAAAATATTAGGCAACAACTCTCCATGAAGGATGATATTGCCCACTGTTTCAGCTCATTAAAGGCAGCTAGTGGAACTTTTGCTGGTTTAAAGATGACGAACAGACCAAGAATGGGTGACATTAGCTTAATTACAGTAATTTCCTATAAAATGGTGAAGCTTCCTTTTTCTTGGTTAAGTCTGACTATATCATTTCATCAGATGCGACTCTTTTTAGAGAGAAAAAGCAATTTGCTTAACAAGGAGAGAAATACATTGGTGAAGATGAAATGCCCTTTATACAAGAACAAAACTAAACAATGTAACCAGGCAATGAAATTGTTTGACAAGATTCCATTTTAGTGGTGCTCCCAAATTGTGCTGCAGGTCTACCAGAGCCATAACCCCAAAGATACTGCACTGTTGAACCACAGAGAAGTAAAGGAAATTACTTTCTCTGACACCAAATTGACTGGCATAAACCATTGTCACACTCCAGTTTCACATATGATGTTATCAGTCAGGTAATTGTTTTAGCATCAAAGTTATACAATTTTTTTTTATTTTACTCTACTGCAATCTATCTGACTCATGGAAGTAAAACAAGAAAAAAAAATTCTTACCAATTTCTAAGGAACATGATCCTTGAAGAACAACAAAGAGGAAAAGAAACACGAGAAGGGAAGTTTTTATGCCTTAGTTTTGCAAGTTGTTAATAGCAAGATAGATAGCAATCCAAGAATATATATGAGAGCACAAAAAAAATGATGATACTTGGAACCTCCAGTCGGCAGTTTGTATTCACTCTAATAGTCGCACATTATCTATGCAATGCCTTAAAGGTAACCAAAAAAGACTCCCTGCCCAATAAGAATCTAACTTTCAGGAAAGAATTTAATATTCATTGAATAAGATGAATGACGCTAGAAAAGAAGAAAAGATCAGACCATTTAATACTGTCCGAATAGTTTTATCACACAATGCAATCTCATCTTCCAAAGTGCGTAGCTGAGAACTCTGAAAGTAAAAAAAGGAAGATATCAGGATGGTAATCAATGTCTTAAAAGTTTGACGGCAAATAGTGGAAATAAATAGCATAATCCACAGTTTTCTACCACCATATATCGAGATAACTGAATATGTTGACTTCCTTGAAGCCTTCACTCAGATGGTCTTCCATGTCCGATGCCCAACATGAATGGGAACCCCCCCCCCCC